CCCCCACCCACACACTCACACCACCCCCAAGCTGTTTTGCTAGGAAAGGAGTTCGCTAGCCCGGGCTGCAAACGGGGCGTGCTTCCTCGGGAGGAAAGGGCAAAAGACTCGATGCGCCTGAGGTCTGAGCGGCCTCGGTTAGGATCGGGACTGCAACTCGCGCTTCTGCAGATCACCGTCCTAAAGCCGTGTGAACGTTTTGGCTCACACGGGTGTCTGTTTCAAGCGTTTGGTAACGCTGATCTCGCGAGTCCGAGGCATTTGGGAACTCCTGGTCTTAAAAGCCAGCCTGTCTGAAGACGAGCAAAGGCTCCTTGGGGGGGGGGCGGTCAAACTATGTCCAAAACGGTTCTTCAGGTTCGAGGGTGAAGAGGGGACCCCTCTCCAGGAGTGCCACTCGTTGGCCTCTTGCTGCGACGCTCCGGTTCTCCTGCGGGACCGGCCGGGCCCCTGTCCTGCCCTCCCTCGCGCGGCACTTCGGAGACCCCTCCGCTCGCGGCAGGGCGCCCTACGTGGCCCCCTAAGCCGCCTGCATCTCATGGGTCGGGAATGCCGCCTCGTGTCGCCTGGATTCCGTAGAAACGTGGCCAGGTCGCTTCTGGGGTTTGGTTGTCATCGAAATGGGACACGGGGCGGCCTTCTCCGTGGCGGCGTCTGGGCTTCCCTTCCCTAAGACCCCTCAGGGGGCTGGGGGGGGCAGGTCTGGCTGGTTCCTTCCTCCCCTTCGCGTTCAAAGGCGTCGATGGGTCGCTCCGTCAGTTTCCCAGTCGAGGGGGTGCTTGGAGGCCTCTGGTGCGCTTCTTGGGCAGCTTCGAAGGAAAGGCAATCCGGACTCCCCCGAGAAGCGGGCGGGGCGCCGGCCGGGATTCTCTTGGATGCCGCGCAAGAGCCCCCCGGGGGGGGGCGTTCGTTCCAGCCGAGTTTGCGGAAGGATGGCTGGCTGGGCTCGGGCGGGGGTGGGAATGCCCGCGGGAGGACCCTCTCCCGGTCCATCGCGGGTTCCGCCTTGTCTCCTCCGGGCCCAGGCGGCTCCCCCGCGCCCCCCCCCCTTTCTCCTCGGGTTGTTTCTCAGAGTTGCCTCTTTTGTTTTTGGTTTGGTATTTTTAAAAAGAAGAAAAGACAAGAAAAGTGGTGCCGGCCGCTCTGGGCCTAGAAGGGATTCCACCTGTCCAGCACATCCGTGCAGGTGTGTGTGTGTGGGGGGGGGAGTGCGTAATGGGTTGGGGGAAATCTGTCTCGGCTGAGGCCAGGAAAAGGCGCCGTCCCTCTTTTCGGCTTGGTTTGGTTTGGTTTGCAACAGGAAAACATCGCGGAAAGTGATTCCGCCCCCCTTTCCAAGCGCAGGCAAGGTGGGCCAGCGAGCTCGGAGGGGGGTGCCAATCGTCTCTCCCCCCCCCCCGCCTCGTTCCAAGGAAATCCCC